TCCAGTTGCTGACTGGTCGCTGCGGGGGCACAATCCCCCCTGACTAAGGTGGCACCAGTCACCCATGGCCCCGAGGTTCTCCCCACTGTGCTTCCACTCGCCTTAAGAAACAGACCTAAGAGAGCTTCCTATCTCTGCACCTCCATTCCTCTGCCCTTGTATATGGATCCTGGAGCTGTAGTGATCCTGGAGCTGCCCTTGTATATGGATCCTGCAGCTCCATCCTTGCATATGGATCCTGCAGCTGCTGTGCAACCCCCCCCCCCCCCCCCCACACCCCACCACTTTTGGGGAATGGAAACAAAAACTTTTGGGTAATGGAAGAATAAATTATAGGTCCCTCTCTCCATGGAGAGGGCCAGCCTGGAATATCACCTGCCCAGAAGTCACTCCCTTCCACAGGCAACCAGAAAGGAGACAAACAACAAAATGATTTATTATAAAAGCAGAACAAGCATAAGAAACCAGTAACCATTGGTTGAGATACAGACAGAGGTATAAGAGAAACCAACAAAACCAAATACCAGAACATTAACTTGGTCTTACACAACCCCTTAAATCCAAAGATGAAGTGCCTAGCTAGCTTCAGGGGTCTAAAAGCAACCTCCGGTACTGACCATGCCCAACAGGGCCCTCTCTCCACTTGGGTTAACCAGCCTCCTTGGCTGAGGGGGTGTTATTATAAAAATATATCTCTACATATACATAAAGTTATATATAGCTACACTTCTAGTCACACACTAAAAGGGAAAACCATAACCCCGTCACAAAATCTGCAGCCGCGCACCTGTACAAAGGCCCGCTGGATACCCAAAACCATTACAATATGCGCACCCGCACACCCACACACAAGTCTTCTGGTCTCTCAGACCAGACGCCACAGTCCCTTCATCCCCACCCCAGTGACGGGGATGCAAACTCAGATCATCCATTGTCCGTGTCGCTTTGCTCCAGCTCCCGCTGGTGGACTTGCTGCTGCTGTCGCTGTCACTGCTGCTGTCCTCAAATCTGGTCGTCTCTGCATCGTCTTCACTGTCACAGGCT